AAACAGGGTTGATCCAGCATTTCAGGAATACATATGGAAGAACAAAGCGGCCATGAGTGCGATTTTGCTTAGTTAAATCCACAAAAAATTCAATGAAGTAGCATAGAATAAACAAGTTAGAAGTTATACAATAATGGGGTAGATAGATTTAGCATAGGGAAGAAATCGTATCTGCCAAACGGAAAGTCTGTCAATGAATGGATAATTTACGTTCTTCTAAGTTTCCATAATGAGACTAAGTTAAAAAACGAGATCAACCAAATTCCACCTGGCTATAAATTGAGTCTGGGCTAAAAATAAATGATTCGATTTGATGCTCATATGGAACGAAAAGGAACTGCTCAGAAATAATTTAGTGAAAGGAAAAGGTTTAAAGAAGTACTCTTCTATTGGTCAGCACGCATAATGAGTAATACTCAACATAGTGAAACCGACTAACCAGATTGTTAAAAGCTAACGAAGTACGCAGATAATAAAAAATATGGCTGAACAAGAAAAATAAATTAACATGCCCGGCCATTGTTATAACTCTATTGGCAACCTGATTAATAAAAATGTGAAGGATTATAAGTGAGCTAGAATGGATTTTCCGGACTAAGAAACCATTTATGCTCTGCCTGGAATACAGAGAAAATGTACACAGTCAGGCCCGACTAAACATGGAAGGATTCGAAGCCAAGGCAATACATGGATTTCGATTAATCCTTTGTGACGAAGTCAAATCAGTACAAGAATTAAATATATACTAGTAATAAGCAAGTTAACATACTTCACATTTCCAAAATATAGATAAATTAAAAAAGAAAGTGTTTTAACTTTACATTTTAATGACTCAATTCAAATTTTGTGAAGCAGACTCAAAAAATACTCATTGAAATTGATAAACTATTAAACAAATTAAACAAGCCGAAACGAAAATAAAAGGAGAGCAATGAATAAGGACGAGGAATTAAGACAAAAAGTGCATACCATATGAGCATAATTGCATAGGCCGCCGTCGAAATAAAATGGGCAGTAACCCACCAACCTTTTATCCTGGATCCATTTACTATAAGTATTTGTTCACGAATAGTGAGTGTACAATAATACCATACAAGAAGAAAGTGAAAGGCGGTATCCATCACTCTAGAAAGCAACGGTAAGAATACAATTGAAATTTAATTGGAATAGAAATAATTTTCGGATGGTGTAAATACAAACCTGCTATGAATAAAAAAATACAAAAGGAAGGACAGGGTAGCAGAGATTGCTGAAATAATAATCTTGAATCTTTCGTAGTCATGTTTGTAGAGGTATCTGAACAGTTAAAAATTTAATACAATACCTATCTTGTTTGTTGGTAAGGGATACATTTACGTGGCCCAGGACTATTTTAAGGTACAAGCCGCTACTATTTGGGAGCGAATCATACATATCCTTTGTAATAAATTCGTTCCAATCCAATTCAGATAACATTTCGTTTAGACGCTTAGTTTCTTCAAATGATGCTGTCTTTGAAAAACTTTCAAAATATATGTATAAAAAGACTAAATACTTCTTTATTTCATCGCGAATTATTTTAGCATAGTTCTTTTCGTGTTTGATACTCTTGAAACACACTGACTGCTTTTCTTTTAAATCATCAACAATGCTAAGATATTCAGAGTGGTTTTTCTATTAAACAAGCAAACTACATAAAATATAATAAATTAACTTTTAAAAGCGAGAAATCAGTTTTGTAAGAATCGAAAAGAGCCTCGAGGGCCTCCATTTTATATAGTGCAAAGAATCGAGGTGAGAGTAATTTCAGAAAGGTGCAATTATATATAGAGTATACATAAACAAAAGATCATCACAAAAATGCTTATAAACCTTTTTCTGTATTAAACTTTATTTGATAATACTAGGACGTTAAACTATGTGAAAATAGGTCGGAATTGATAATTGCCATAAGTTTAGCCCATGACAAATACTCTAACTTTAGATAAATATTTTTTATAAAAAAATCTAGTACCAGACTAATGCAATGTGTGTTAATCAAAAGAAGATTATTATTCTTTCAGCACTCGTTTCATAATTTTAGACTAAGTCATAAAAATCGTTATAACATTATTACTACACTACTCGGCTACGTGTGTCAGACGCATATTAGACCCCTCTATAGATATCTATATAGAGTATTGACGGAACTAATTATATCGGTGCTTTAATATGAAATTATTTAAGAATCACATGATAGAGAGAT